GCTACTATTAGGACAAAGTGAATTAAAGGCTTTGGATGATGTTACTTTCGCAGCAAAGTAAGGTATTTTTTTTTATAATAGGAGCCCAGATTCTTGATGTGATGTTTGATGCATGCATACAAAGTTTTATACATAGTTATTCATTATTGGGTGACATGGTTCATGTATGACGAAACAAGGGAAGAAGAGAAGTCATGAAATCAACACGAAGAACTTCAGTGACCTGGTGGCAGAGGTTTGTTCTGAGTGCATTCTAGAGTGGGTTTCACTTTTCTTTTCTTTTTTTTAATTTTTTGAACTCTGTGTAGGCTAATAAAAAGAGGAAGCGCAAGATGTAGGAAAAAGGAAGGGAAGGCAAAGAAGGATTTCAAGTTTTAAACACAAAGTTATACATCAAATTCGCATAGCATGAATGCTACCCCTCGCCCATTGGATATATTCTGTTTGGTGAATATATTGTGAACTATGTTATTCAAAGGATCTGACACATTGAAAGTTCTTATTGACATGTAAAATGTGAAGTTCTTTGGTCGATCTTGGGCCATCTTGGTTCGATTAATGAATGGACAGGGCAGCTAGTTGCACTATTGAGGTAGGAGTGATGTTTAAAGGGAATTTGTTTAGTGAATCCATTTTGAGATCATCGATGAATCTTAACTGTGCATGAACTTGGTGGAAAGTTAGAAGTGGTTTTATTTTCTTTAGGGAAGCCATGACCTATAAAGCATGAATTTCTCAAGGTTTGCCTGTGTGATGTTCTTGTTTTTATGTTTTGTTTCTTCTTTTGTGTCGACGAGCCACAAACACGATCTAAAGGAGCATTATTATCAGCATAGGAAAAGTCCATTGTTGGCATGAAATAACTGGGTGCGTGCCATAGTTAGCGACCCAAGGAATAATAAAATATCGGCATATCAAAATTTTGGTAATAAATCGGTTTTATTTCAAAAAGTCGGAGGAAAAACTCTGAGTTTTTCAAAAGATCTTCGAAAAATCTTTTTTTTTTTAATAGTGCGGATATAAATTTGCATTTTATCTTCTCTTAAAAAAACTTATTCCCTGTAACTTTATTTATTTATTAATTTAATATTATTGAAATTTGGTGTAAAGATAAGTAAAGTAACAATGAGTAAATTAAAAATCTTGATTTAACAAAAAATATTTTTTTCATTTCGTACATATTTAAATAAATTTTTTAGTTTTAACAACATTTATATTAATAATTTTTCCACAATTTTATCGATTTTCTAGAACTCGGCTCGGCTTTTATCTGCGCTAAAATGAGCTCGGCCCGGCGCAAATTTATCTCGCCTCGGCTCGGCTATTATCAGCTCGGCTTGGCTAATGTCGGCTTGGCTTAGCTAGTATTAGCTCGGCTTGGCTAACATTGGCTCGGCTCGGCTTGGCTCAGTTTAGTGAAACTCTATTCTATTTGAAATAAGTTTAGATATTTTAGCTGAACCGAGTTGAGCCGAGCCGATAAAAGCTGAGCTGAGCCGATTTAAGCTGAGCTGAGCCGTTTTAAGTCGAGCCGAACTTTTATCAAGGCAAACCTAAAATCCACGAAAACAGGGAAATTTTAGCTAGAAAAGTGCTTCCATGGGCTTCTTCTGGTTTTTTGGGTTTTCAAATTGAGGGGAAGAATTGGAGAAGGGAGGGATGCCATGCGTCAGTCGATTGCGAATCATCATTTTCTTTGGGAAAGTGTGCCTGAGTCTCTTGCTACCCTAGTTTTACCCTATTCCATTATCACCCAAGACCCCTTTGCCATCCTTCACTCGTTGCCCCAATTCACGGCTCTGGTTTTGCTCGGGTACTCATATGTTGGTAAACGTCTAGCAAAATGTAGCGCAGACAGCTTCCCCAAGCTTCAAATTCTACACCGAAGATGGAGGATTGAGGTCAATTTTCATCTCCTTGCTTTCCTTGTGAACGAAGATGAACTGCAATTACAGTTAATATTTAATGTTTGGACTGAATTGATAGTTTGCATGCTTCAATATTATAATGAAGTAACCATGGTATAGTTGGACCAAACCGTGTGAATTATGAACGTTTGTTGCCATTGGATGTGGAGGATTATGTGCGTGCTCATGAGTGTTCCATGCTAATAGACATCAATATTGTGTTAGAAGGCATATCATCTTGAAATAGGGGGTTTAGAGTAAAAATAGTCAGTCCTTTGGAAGAAGATGAAACATAAAACTAGGTGATGAATGAAACTTTTCTCAATAATGCATATTTACCTTCGAAAATATTCCTTTCTATAAGTCTTTTGTGGCATGCAATGAGAAACAGAGCATCAACTTATGAACGTATGCAAAAATAGGGCTCACTGGTTCTATGTGG